CCAATTTTAAGTTGAAAACGGCTACTTGGAGGAACCAACTCGGAGTGTTTACAATGGAAAAATCATGGGGATTAAATGAACCAACACGACGAGTTGAGGTGCCTCAACTTGACGAGTTGGTGGCTGGAAGGAAACCCTAATTTCTAGGATGTTGCACCCTATTTAAAGGCCTTAAGTTCCTTTGGTTGGCCTCCTTATTAGCCTCCATTGTTATCAAAACCCTAAAATGAGTTGTATCCTCCATTGTCAGTCATTTAAGCATTGGAAGGAAGTTTGGTGTCCATTTTGTGCATTGTGAAGGAGATAGAAGATCTTGAAGTTTCTAAGCTTAGAGGAGGGGTCTTGGATCCAGAATCATTATCCATTTGGCAAGGAGTTTGAGGTATCAATTTCTCATCTTGATGTCTAGATGTTTAGATCTTTCTTTTTGAGTTAATTGTTATGTTTAAGTCATGGGTCGAATGGATGTTGGGATTAGGACGTCCTAAATCCTTATTCTTTCAGATATGGGGTTTTCATGGACTCTTTTGGAATAAAGGTGCCAACTTTATGGATTTAAAGGCTTCATGCATTCTTTAAGTCCCTTATTAAGCCCTTTTTGAGCATTTGAGCCTCTCCTAGTCATGCATGAGCATAAAGTTGGAAACTTTACGTTCTCTTCCAGCTCTAGAGTGTCAGATCTGCAATTTGGGGGCTTTGTCTTTGAGTATTAAGTGTTTAATGGTTAAGACCTCATTCTTTTAAGTCTAGGGTTGGGGTTAAACCGATTTCGGTGGTAACTAGGGGTAAAGTTGAAAATTTACCCTCCTAGATCCATATTGGTCAAGATCTTAGTTGTGAAGCTCTTGAAGTCAATAATGCCGACTTAATTTATTAAGAGGTGGGTTTCTGGCGAACTCGACGAGTTTGTGGATAAACTGGGAGAGTTGGCTCGGTTTCTCCCCGACTTTGCATTTAATGAAGGAACACAGTGAGTTGAAAGACAACTCGACGAGTAGGGTCAACTCAGGTCGTTGACTTTAACTTTCGACCCTGTATTTGACCAAGTAGTTCTAAAGGGGTACTTGAGGTAATCATAATTGTAATTAAGGAAATTATGGGCTTAGGATAAGCCCATATGGGGTTGGGCCCGATTTGGAAAATGGGGCCATTAGTGAGACTTTATGGATCTTTTGGTTTTGGGCCTCGATTTTGATGCATGTTAGGTCAGTGGTAAAATGGTCATTGTACCCAAAGTATGGATGGTGGGCCTTAGAATGGATCTCAATTGCTAATTGGGTGTTATTTTGATCTGATAGCTCGGAGGCGTCATCAGGGAAACAACTAGGGATTTCTTTCTGTGAGATTTTGCATTCGAGGTGAGTTTCCTCACTGGATTTGCGGGTCGAAGGATCCATTGCCGACCCATGTTTATGTTATGTTATGTTGGTATGCTAGCTGTCTTCGTGACTCTTACATGTGTATGTGTTTATATGTTTTCGGGCTAAGGCTCAATGTCGGGCAGGGCCCGATGACTTCTTGTATACTATGTATCTATGTGATTATTGCATGTGTATGTGTTTATTTGATATATATTATATGTATGATGGGTAGGGCCCGATCTATTACCGAGCAGGGCTTGATGTTAGGTGGGGCCCGATACCCGGCGGGGACCGATGACAGGGTGGGGCCCACTATATGTTTATGTGTATGTGTGGTATGTGGTATTTTGGGGTTCTCACTAAGCTTTGTGCTTATGGTTTTTAGTTTATGTTCAGGTGATTCGGGTTTCAAAATAATGGAAGAGCTCGGGATTATTGCAGGGCACACACCGTATGTTTTCGCATTCTGTGATTCACTATGATTTAATGATGTTTTGCTAAATCTTGGCTACCATGGTTTTATGGAAATGATATGTATTAACAATTATTTAATCTAAAAATGAAAATTTTATGTCATTATTTTCGGGATGTTTCAAGTTGGTATCAGAGCCTTGGTTTGAGAGATTCATGCATACTCTCGAGTGTGCATGGACTCAAAATGAGGGTTCGGCGGAAATTTTTATAAAATAAACATATAAATAAAAAATAAATTTATAATTAAGAGACGGTTGTGATTCATGCAATCGGTCGAGCTCAAGTAAGTGGTTCCCAAAATACCAATACATGTTTATTATGATATATGATATAATTATGAGAATTACATGCTAGAATAGGGCTAAGGATCTGCTCAGTATTTCATGATGAGAGAAACACCTTTATATGTTTGATTGTATGAGCTTTAGTATCACATGCTACTATGTATATCTGATAAGTGGATAAAATCGATTGATTAGTGTATGTTGGTTAGATTTTCCACTGCTTTAATGTTCCTTGCTTTGTGATTTGTGGGACTCTTAGTGATGTGAATTTAATGCTAAGTGAATATGCTAAATTGCATGTGGCACAAATTAAATAATCTTAGAGTGATGGATTTGATGCTATTGTGCAGCTCTCGTTTAAGTCCAACCATTCTAGGGTTGAGTCTTTTACTCAAAGGATTATCTGATCTCTGTTGCATGTGACTAAATTCATAAGGAAGCTAGTTGACATTGGTGGGAGTCTTTCAAAAGATGAGGGTTGGTTGAGGTCGAGAACCTAGGAGAGTCTAGGATATGCTTTAGTAGGTTTAGTGATGTGGTTTAGTGAGTTTTTGGTGCATCAATTTGAGTAGGTGGCTTACAGGATTCTTGAGGATAGTGTGGATAGGTGTGAAAGGTTGTATTGGGCACATACTAATGAAAGCACAAGATCCATACCCGAATCGAGGAGAGTCATAGAGAATCTAGGAAGCTTGTGGGGTGACGATTCATGGTTATATTCTGATTATGGGTATGGATGCTTTTCAGAATGGTGATGAGCACACATGGGGAAGGTTCAAACTTTGGTCCTGGCTCAGGTGGTGAGCCAGATAGTGGAAGGACTGCAAGGCTTTTGAATTCGTGTTGGATTAAGGAGATGGAAAGTATTTTCCGCACTAGCCCCTACCTCATAGGAGCCAAGTTTTGGTTCGCCTTGTATCTCTTGTATCGAGTGACAATGAGTTTTGTAGGAATTGATTGCACAATATATTGCACTTTATGAATTAGATACTATGTCTTAGGAAGAGTTGTGACCCAGATTAGGGTAGAGGTTGCTCCAACTATCGCAGTTCAACCGTTGGCGAGTGAGCTGGTGAACATATCAGGATGCCAGATCCTGAAGGATATGACTTCCAGAGACCGAGGGCGGGAGATCGAATTAGAGCACCGTGGGAAGAGGGGCTCAAAACGGGTGCATATAGTGGAGGGTCCCGAGAAGATACCCAAGGCATCTTATCAGCATTTGAAAGGCTAGCAGGGTTGGAGTCAGTGCAGCACGTACGGGAAATTGCATGATGGGAATTGTCATTCCAGAGGTTTGGGCTGGTACAAGTGTGGCAGAGCTTGTCATGTTAGCAGGGATTGTCCTTAGGGGGCAAGCCCATTATGTTTTCTCTGTGAATAGATGAGCCACAAGAAGGCCGACTATCCGATGTTGAGGGGAGGAGCAGCGAGTGCACCTGCTCCAACTAATTTGCTTCGACTACTTTGAGGATCACCAATGAACGATAAGGTAGGGAAGGATCCCCAACATAGAGGAGCCATGCATTGCAGTGTCAGACAGGGGATGTCAGGACTCCAACAAGCAACATTACGGGTATGTTATATGTTGATTTCTTCATGGTTACATCAGTATTTATGTTATTTTGGAATCTTGCATCGTTTGGGTAAATGTATCTTTGGTTTATTCTCTGCTTATGTTTGGGTTATATCTTCAAGAGATGTTACATGCCAATTGCATGCCATGAATCGTTAGTGGATTGGTAAGGAGTTGTATCTTGTTGGCGGTTTCCAAGTGTTCGGTTGAGTGCTTTTCTATAAATAGGTTCATATCCACATTCATTATTCTTTGCGAGTGTGTGCATAGTAATTTCAAGAGAGCACTCGTCGTTACGTTGAGAGCACATCATTTGGAGTAGTTACTAAGAAAGAGAGATTCTTTTGTGTTGAGAGATCAAATGAGGTGTAACCATTATGTATGATTGTAATCGTTCTTTGATGTTTAATAAAATCCTCTCTCTCTCTCTCTCTCTCTTTCTTTCTCTCTCTCTCTCTCTCTCTCTCTCTCTCTCTCACGTGGACATAGGTCACCTTGACCAAACCACATTAAATATTGTGTTCAGTTTTAGTTTAAGTTTTTCAAAAGTTTTATTCTGTAAGTTTTACCGAAGTTTGTTTTACATTTTTTTTGAAGTGCTTAACTTGTTTTGTTGTTATTCCAACATGTGATATCGAGTTACTCTCATTGTTGAATCCTTTTCGCATAATACTATCACTAGAAATATATTCTCAACTTTCTCAACAAAGAGTTATCCAAACATAATAAAGCCTCAAATCACAATATTGTATGATTCTCATACTTCAAGATCTACCAAAAAGGTTATCTCTGTCTTGCATCTCTTACTAGTTGAATCCAAGTCCAACAAATCCACAAAGACTACTCCAACACCAATACATAAGTTGAAACATGACAGCCAAGGACCACTAAACCAATATGCAATTAAGATTTGAGTATTCATGAGTCCATATCATTGCGTTGCACTATATTTTTTTCATTGTCCATTTAAAGAATGTTATAATAATGTATATTAGATGATATAAAGTACTTGTAGTACTTTTCCTAAATGTGTTATTTAAAGAGGGTGATTTCCAAAGTTGTGTTTAAGGTATTTAGTTGGAAATATGTTTTCAAGAAGATAATTTACTAACATGTGTTAAGAGTGTGTATTTTTTGAAGACGAGTAAAATGGTTGATCCTTTAATATGTTTTTAAGTATGTATCATATGAAGATGTTCTAAAGAACGGTCTTTAATGAGGACTTCTTTACGTGTGCGTTTCAAAAACGTATTATTTATTATGCGTTTAAAATGTTTGAGTTGTAAAGATGATATCTTAAAACACATGTTCATTCTTAGAAAGGTGAGTAAAAGGGTGATTATTTCAAGTGTGTTTTCAAATATATGTTAAAGAGGGGTTTAAAGTGTGTCTATTTCCAAACCGGTTAATTCTATCCACTCAACGAATATAAACCAACAATGATTATTGTGATTTTATAACGTCAAAACACTCATCACGATTGCTTAGAGTTTGTAGTGTTTAATATTCAATGTTTTAGGAAAACGCCATGACTCCGAAAATATCCTTTTCCTTGAGGACATTATTATCGGACAACAAAATATTTATTACATATTTTCTCTCCAATAAACCTATTTAAAAGTACTCTACTATTCTCAACCCTAAAAGCAATTCTTGCACTTCTCGTTGTTCAATGTTCGCTTTATCCATACGTGAAAATATTATATTCAAAATCTAAATATTTTATATTAACCATACATATGATTGTACTCGTCAAATCTAATTATATTCACAAGTGAATACAAACATACACACAAGACATGAATATTCATGTATAAATATGTATATTCTATTTTAATAGTTTTCTTTAAAAAGAGGTTTAGACCATCAATAACGTCACAATAGTTTATTTTGATCCACATGAAGCTAATTTTTACAATGGGATAGAGTTGCTATGAGTTAGTGCACACACAAATTCAATATCCCAATTTGTCATTTATTATGCTTCAAATCCAAAGCGATGGGCTAGCCTAACAACTCTCATAACAACTTCATAATTATGGTGAAGTTATTAATAGCCTAAAGCTTGAGAACTTTATGACATTTCAACTTCTTATTCTTCATCAATGCGAGGCTAGTTAATTATTACAAACTCTATCACTTAAATTTTCATTCTTTTGTCTATACGAAATGAGCTACATATTATGTTCTTAACTTCTAGTTTATTTTATCAACATAAAACGTGTTACTAGAGTCCTCAAAGTGGCATTATTTTGAGTACTCGTTATTGCTCATGCAAAATTCTGCGCCTTCTGTTCATTTCTTATCCTTTTAGGCCGTAAATATAGATATTATCTAGGGGCAAAAATGTCATAATGAAGAAGCCGAACTTTTTGAAATAAATCCATAATATAGGGGTCTAGATGTAATTTTTACCTTAAAATTATAGGCATAAAGTGTGGGAGAGGGTTTTACAAGCCGAGCTGGCAAGCCGAGACGGTTTCTTGTTGTTGCTTCTAGTTATACTTTCTTTAAATAAGTTGGGTATATGCATGAACCAATGTAAATACCAATGATTCCTTCACGATTGGATGTTTAATTCCAAATTTCCTTCACACTTTCATGTGATCATTATTATAAAAAAATCCTCTCGCTATCTGTTCATGCCTAATTTCAACTAGTTGAGTGGGTGGAGATCCTCCATTGCAATTTACAGCTACTTTTTCTATAAATCAACGTATCCAGGATATCTCTCATCCGTATCTTGATTTAGTGATTTAATATCATCGTTGATGTTACTAATTTCCCAGAAATTCAGGAGATAATTGATTGATGTGAAGTGATCGCAGTTCAATAATTCGGTTTTCTGGAAACCCCATGAGAAATAGGGAAGAACTTTGTGCCGAAAGTGGAGGATTCCGACAGTTCCTTTGCTTTGCGTTTAGGAAAAGCAAAGAAAGTTTTCGCAATTGGGATTTGGAAGATTGATGAAATAGCAAAGTCAGGGGTTTATTGTTATTTTAATAGTGCTTTTTTGAGGAATTGGAGATCGAAGAAGATCCATTTGCAGCGAGTAAGTATCGATTCTCTTGAAACGATTCACACTATGTTGTTGGATTTTTATCTGGTTATATATTCTCAATTTCTCATCGATATCACTTGAACCCAAAAGGGTTTTACTGGTTTTGCAAAACGTTTTCAATTAATTGCTTGAAATTCAAATGGGTTTTGCAAGTTGTTTACGATTCTGTCCAATTATTTGCTTGATTTCAAGTGGGTTTTAAGAACTTCTGTCAAAAATTGGCCGATTATTGTTTTAATTTCAAGTGGGATTTGCATGATTTTACAGGTATTTGTCAATTATAAGCTTAATCTCAAGTGGGGTTTGAAGCTATTATTGATTTTGACTAATTGTTTGCTTTTTTCAAGTTATTACTGATTTTGACCAATTCATTGCTTGAATTTGAACTAAGTTTTGGAATTCTTGCTTAAAATTCAAGTGGGTTTTGCATGTTACAACGGATTTCAGCCAATTATTTGCTTGATTTATCAAAAAGATTCATCATTTTTAATAATGAACACAGATATGGCGACATATGTTGAGCCTCCAAACGGATTCAGGCAAATCGGGAAGCATTATTACACTATATGGCAACAATTGTTTGAAATCGATACAAAATACATTCCGATCAAACCAATTGGGAGAGGAGCATATGGTGTTGTTTGTTCTTCAATCAACAGAGAAACAAACGAGAAAGTCGCAATCAAGAAGATCAACAATGTGTTTGGAAACCCAACTGATGCGTTAAGAACCCTAAGAGAATTAAAGCTTCTCCGACATATCAGACATGAAAATGTAATCGGATTGAAAGACGTCATGTTTCCGATTTACAGGAATAGCTTCAAAGATGTTTATCTTGTTTACGAGTTAATGGATACCGATCTTCATCATATCATCAAATCGTCACAACCTCTATCAAACGATCACTGCAAATTCTTCTTATTTCAGGTATAAATGATTAAATTCTCGTTTCCCCTTATAAGTTATCGTCTTCCTGTTCATGAATTGATCGAATTGTTTCAGTTGCTTCGAGGTCTGAAGTATCTTCACTCTGCTAATGTCCTCCATCGTGACCTAAAACCCGGGAATCTCCTCGTGAACGCAAATTGCGAACTGAAAATCTGCGATTTTGGACTGGCGAGAACGAGCCAAGGAAGCGAACAGTTCATGACGGAATACGTCGTCACACGGTGGTACAGAGCACCGGAGCTTCTCCTCTGTTGCGACAACTACGGGACCTCCATTGACGTGTGGTCGGTGGGATGCATCTTCGCCGAAATTCTCGGCCGGAAACCGCTTTTTCCGGGAACGGAGTGCCTGAATCAACTGAAACTGATAATCAACATTCTCGGGAGTCAAAACGAAGATGATATTGGATTCATCGACAACGCAAAAGCTCGAAGGTTTATAAAAACTTTGCCTTTCACAAGAGGGATTTGTCTTTCTTCTTTATACCCGGCGGCGGATCCTTTAGCTTTGGACTTGCTGCGGCGGATGCTGGTGTTTGATCCGGCGAAGAGGATAACGGTGACGGAAGCTCTGCAACATCCGTACATGGCGGGTTTGTTTGACCCGAGGCAAAACCCGGGTGCCCAAATGGCGATTAATTTGGATCTTGATGAGAATATGAATGAAGAGATGATTAGGGAAGAGATGTTGAGGGAAATGTTGCATTATCATCCTGAAGCTGCATATCAAATGGTGTTTCAAAGATAGTTTATTTTTGGAATTTTGTTTATTATTTGCTCTAGAAACCAAAAATGGTGTAAAACCTTAAAAGCATAATGTGGGGCTTTTGGTTTTGATTATTCTTGTAATTTGGATTGTAAAATTTTTAGTTTTATGTAATTTTGGTTTTGAATCCCTACATGTTGGTGTTCTACTCTTTTTCATCAACTTCCATTTTTTTTTTTTGAATTTTGAATTTTGAAATAGTGTAAAAGAGCAATGTGATGCTTTTGGTTGATAAAGATGATTTTGATTTTGAGAATATGCACACGTTGGGAAAAAATAGTTTGTAGCTATTAGATAGAAGCTATAGTTTTGATTTTTATATACATGTTTGGAAAAAAATAGCAGTAAACTTTTAAAACATATAAGATTAAATAAAGTGACTCATATGAAATACCCACTGATATTAAAAAAAAAAAAAAAAAAGTAATTAAATCAATTTGTAAAGTTATAAAAATGTATTTTATAAATGCTACTTGAAATAGTATATTTTTTTAAACTAAAAGTTAAGCACTTCCTTTGAGTAACAATGTTTTATAAAGGAATTCGCTTGTTACCTAAAAGAAAACAAAGGTTTCAATTTACTATCTTTCAATTTTACATTTAATTCTAATGATTTTGGATTAATTTGAATTGTAATTATTATTTTAGGATTTTTAAGAATAATAATAATAATAACAACAATAATAATAATAATAATAATAATAATAATAATAATAATAATATTTTAAATACACGTTTTAACATAGTTAAAAAGTGTTAGATGATTTTATCCGATACTAAAACGTAATAACTCATAAATTATTTTTTATTTTTTACAAATTGTGTTTATATGTATCAAAAACTTGTTAAATAAGTAAATAAGTAAGATTTATTATTGGTATCAACTACAACAAATCAATAACACTTGAAATAAGGAATATGAGATAGCCAAAAAAAACTTACAAATATATCATCTTAATGAAGAAAAATGAATCTCTTTATATTAATAAAACAGTAATTATTTTGTCATGTGTCACCATGTTAAGTATTATAATTAATATCATATCACTTGTTAATTTATTGATTATTCAGTTTAAATTTTAAATTTCACATACTAATTACATTAAATTAATAACATTAAAATAAAAAATAAAATAAAACTTATATAAATTATAATATGATATAATTTTACGTATTTATTTGAATCAACGATTATAATTATATACATAACTAAAAAAAGATATCTTTTAATTAATAAGTTATTTAAAATAATTAATTAATAGTTTTAAATTTTAATTTAGAAAATTTAATTAATTTTGGAAATGTGATTCCCACCACGGATTATAAACTAGTTTAGGTAATGAAATTCTAATCTTTTTATAATACCTAAAATTTTAATCTTTTTATATATTATAAGAACGATTTTGTAGTTTAGTTTAAAATAAATATATGTATCTGTTTGGTATGTAATTGTTGGCTTCTTGCACAACTACTAACACCAAACCCACACCACTTGTCACTTTATCAATCATTATAAACTAAATTAGACTCGGTCACCATCTCCATTACGTGATGGTTTTAAATATATATCATTGGTATTCTATAAAATTTTAATTTTATTATCTTTGAAAAGCTTAAAAGATAGATATTCACTAAAATATCACATTATTAGTTGTGTTGATAGTCTTGGTTGACTTTTAGCATTTTCAACGTAAACTTAATAACATATGTGACATAATGCTGGAGTAACTTCAAATTTTTTAGTGTAGGACAAATAAATAAGATATGTGACATAATGTTGGAGTAACTTTAATTTTTTTTAGTGTAGGACAAATAAATAAGATATTGTCAAAAGGGTATCATAACTGGAATATGGATTAGAGGATCCGGTATCGACCCGTTGAAGGGAGTTATGGCCTGCATAGCACAACCTCAACAGCGTGGTAACGACACAAGCACCCCTCCCCCCACAATTATGTGGTATGACGTTGTAACCATAATGAACTTTAACACGTTTGATTTCTTTGATTTTTCTGAATTCAACCGTTTGAACGGTGAATTGTCATAAAAAGTTATGTTCTTATGCTTTACCTATATATATATACATACACACACACACACAAATACAATATATTCCCATTTCGTTCACTTCATTCTTTCTTTGCATACATTATATAAAATTTCAATATTTCACAGTTAAAAAATGGATTCGTTCGACCCGTCTAATAATAATATTGTTGATGATGATATGCTCGCATCTATGATCTACGAGAATTACACGGATATGCTACTACAACTAGATCTAGCTCCTCTATTAACCAGACGTGCGATGTTAAACGTAAATCGCGAAGGACACTAACGTCTAGTTCATAATTATTTTGCTGATAATTGTGTCTACCGGGAAAATGAAAGTAGGTTTCATTTGCGAAAAAATGTGTATCATCTTGTTTCCTGTCATTTTTTTATTTAAGAGTTGTGGGTCGGAAGCCGATTTTGTAAAGGTTGTGGTCCTTAAGGAGGTAATGTTTAGACCTTTTGGAATGAGGAAATGATGGTTGTGAGATCTTAACCATTGAATTGTGTTTCGAACCGAATGATAGAAAAGGGAAAATCATAGGCTGGGGCCTTGTATGAAATATTGATTTTTGTTCGAGAAGTTTTTAGTCCAAGATATCTATATAATATTGTGAGGCTTTTCAATACTTTTCCGTTGTGACACCCTCGATCAAAAACATCTAATCTATAAGAATTATCGAGATGTTATTTATTAATGTGGAAAATATACTCAAAATTTATAAAATTTATATTCCAGGTTAAATCAAATAAACACAATATAAACTTTATCTATTTATATAAATTGGAGAATACAACAATAACATCCTACAATCTAAATCTTGATTTTTTGCTCACGTCTTCTCTTCCAGTACCACGGCTGCTAATACTTTTACCTGCAAAAACAAAGAAATCCTTACTACATCAGACACTAGGTCTGGTGAGTTATTCTCCTATCTTTTATGAACATTATTTCTCTTAGATTATACCCTTCCTCATAGTTACTTCTCTAATCTTTCTCACTCAATGCATATATCTTAATGCTTCCACCATAATACATCTCACCTTTAATCGATATCATATTTTTTATGAAGTCTCATGTCTGTTCAATCTAATGTACTATGTTATATCCTATTACTTTTAAATTTCACTCACTAAACCCAAGAAGCTACGAATCTCTGATGCATTCTTCGGTACTTCCTACCGCATCACAGCCTCAACCTTGGCTGGATCAACCGAAATGCATTCCTGATTGATGATATGCCCCAAAAAATGTACCTCTCGTAGCCAGAAATCACACTTGGAGAACTTTGCATGAAGCTTCTCCGCCCTCAGGGTCTCCGGTACTTCCCTCAAATGCTGCTCATGCTGCTCCCTGGTCTTAGAATAGACCAGGATATCATCAATAAAAGCAATCACTGACAGATCCAGCATCGGTCTACACATCCTATTCATGAGATCCATGAATGCTACTGGGGCATTGGTGAGCCTAAACAACATCACCACAAACTCATAATGCCCATACCGAGTCCCGAAATCTGTCTTTGGTATATCCTTATCCCAAATCCTCGTCTGATGGTTCCCTGACCGAAGATCAATCTTGGAAAACCAAGACGCACCCTGCAGCTGATTAAACAAATCATTGAACCTTGGTAACGGAAAACAGTTCTTCATCGTTAGTTTGTTCAACTACCTATAATCAATGCACATCTTGTGTGATCCATCCTTCTTTTTCATGAAAAGGACCGGTGCTCCCCACAGGGAACTACTCGAACTTATGAACCTTCAGTCTAGCAGCTCCTAAAGTTGCGTAGATAACTCTTGCATCTCAGGTGGTGCCAACCAATATGGTGCATTTGCTATTGGAGTGGCACCAGGCACCAAGTCGATGTGAAACTCCACCTGCCTCTTCGGAGGCACTATCTTTCCTGGTATCTACCCTCGTATCCGAGATATAAGCTAGAAATCCCGTACAACCCTACTATAAAAACCTCCTATCCCTCGTAACCGAATAGAGAGTTGGCCCCTACGAGTCTCTCTCACCATGAATAACTAGTTCTCCCCCACTTGGGGTTCGAACCCTAACCAATTAGATCTCGCAATCAATCATTGCCCCATTGGCCTCCAACCAGTCCATCCCGACGATCACCTTCAGCCATCACAATGGTATTAGGACCAGATCCACGTGAAACCTCTTGCCCAACACATTCAGGACGCATCCTTGATACACCCTCACAGCACTCACGGTGCGTTCATCTACAATCTCTACCTTGAGCAGGGAAACCAAAGTTCCCGGTGCGTCCCGGAACTTGTTGCTAAGCATAAGTGACACGGATGACCGGGTGGCACCCGAATCAAACAAAAGATTAGCAAACATACCATTGACCAAAAGGGTCCCTATACAATCATAAAGTACACATAATTCATACAAATAATAAGACCAGTGAATAATAGACACGTATCGGCCACAATGTCTGGCGCTTGCCTGAGCCTCCTCAGTGGTCAACTGAATTTCACAGCTCTTCACCGCTGGAACATCCGCCTTGGTAGGGCGACCATCGATAATCATCAATGTGGCAGGTGCAGGCACCACCACGCTCCTCCCCCTCCATGAAACCTAGGACAGTCGGCCCGCTTGTGGCCGGTGTAGTTGGAATGAAAGCAAATCAAGCCCTTCTTGATTGGCCACAAGCATAGCATCCCAAGCCTGACACCCGACAAACCCTACTATGCGGTTTACCACACTTAGTACACCGGCCCTGGCTCTACTCACCCATGATGGAAGTGTCGGAGGTCTTAGGCTTCTTAGCATGACCCACCATTGCATGTGTCTGCTTCGGTTTCTGCTTGGTGCGGAAATCTAACTCCATCTCCCATTCTCAGGCCTTCTCCTCCATCTTATTCAGGGTTTTGCACCATGTAAAGCTCACAAACTCCCAGATATCATCCCTCGGTATGGAATGCTATCTCGTCCTCCTTTAATCCTCATATGTAGCATACTACACGGTCAAAAAAACTCGTTTCCAAAACTTACCAGTGATATATGCCACAGTCTCGGTGGTCTGCTCAAGGTTTTGAAATTCCCTCACAATTCGTTGCACCTCAATAGGTGGTGCAAACTCTGCATTGAATCACGGAAAAAACTAGGCCCACATCATCTCAGCCACACCAGCTGCTCCTACCTGGCTGGTCACCTCTCCCCACCAATCCCAGGCTCTATCTCTCAGCAT